GATTGAAGTGTCTTCAGGATTCTAGCCCTCCTCAACCTCCTTTCCTTCGTCTACTTAGTTGTCACGGTTTCCACCACTTCGTCCGGTGAAGATCGATGTAATGTTTCGAACTTCTCTGTTTAGCTTTTCCGTTATTGCGACATGCCGCCGTGACTTACTCATAGGTGAGCTTCTCAGGACACGTCGTACCCTTCTGGCGCTTCCTTGGTGCCCTGCAAGTTGTACAGTACTGTTGACGAAACTTCTCTCAGAGGTCGCCACGGTCTATTTCGTCTGCAGCGAACGAAACGGTTCGGAAAGCTTCCAGAGTCTGCCTCAGGACTATGACGAGAAATAAATTGGCTCGCGTTAAAAGTCTCTGTGTGGGGATCCCACCATCTAAACCAGAGGATTTCTAATCCGACCAGGTCTAGGGGTTGAAACGGCGAGCTCTCCTGTCGAATCGACGGACGAGTCTTAGGTGTTGGGAAGTTCGTCTTCTGAGAATTGGGTACCGCGGACATCTTGAGTTTCCTCTACGAGGAGAAGCAGATATCTATGCCATGCACTCGTGGAGCGTAGCTATCTGTCGGATCAGTATACCCTGCATTGGGATATGACCTGATATGACTAGAAATTCCTAGAATATTTCGGAAATCGACGAATCCGCGGTTCGCCTGAGATTTACGCTGACGCTCTCGACCGCAATAGGTTGCTGATTACTGACGTACTCGCATCAACCGAGCTTCATTCTTCCTGTCGGCTCCGCATTGCTCCAGTCCGATGCAGCGCTGCATCAGGTGAGGTCTTGAATACCATGAATGAAAGCTGAGGAATGATGAAGCATGAATGAGCATCCTTCACATCGGGAGAGACATTCAAATCTGATTTCCATATTTCTGACTTTCTGATTCGGTCAGCCATACGCACCCCCCCTCCCGTGGGGGACGAACGAAGTGCAGCCGGGACCCCATGATGGCTTCACACCTTGGCGAAACGTATAGAGCACATGCTGGAAAACTAGTCTATGATCACGCTGAGAGCGCGACTGGAGCTGTACTAAAAGTGAAAGGAGCTCACGCTCGCGACCACTGGTTTCATGAGAGTACGACAGCGCGTGGGAGGATGCGCCAGGAAGGGGCCGATCGACGAGTCAAGATTTGTGGTGCATCTTCGAAATTCATATCCTAACGTCAGTGCTCTTCTGGGTTGGGGGATCCGCTCAGGCTGGCCGCCTATCGTCCGCTCGTCGGACCCCTCTAGTATGTAAGGAGTATGAACCGAAATCATGACGCAACGCAGTTTCGCACTCCCATCGTATCTAGGTATTGAAGATACTGAGCCTTATCCGGAGCCTCCGTGAGCTGCCTGGCTCATTCATTCGCTCCTCATACGCGGATGAAGTGCTGACCATAGAAACATGCGCGGTTCGGTCGGTAAATAGTACGTCTGTGGCATGGGACGCGCGGCGTGGCGGCGACATGCATTCAAACTTGGACTCTCCAATGTGCGCAGAATCGTGCATCAATACTAACATTCGTCAGATCCACGTTTAGATTCGTCGCTTTACTCCAACTTCGATTTTCTATGCGATGCGAGGAGGAGTTCGCTGAACTCAAGGCCGTAAGGCGAGACCCATCGCGCGCGATAATCGTTGATGAATGTACTCTCCTGATTGCGATTCAACAGGCAAAGCCCTGGTCCCGAATTCACGCTCATGGGGCAGTTTCGACTTTACAGGAGCAGCGAGGACAACGAGAGCGTTGGGAATTCGTCCCCCCCATGCGGCAGAGAGTTGTGGCTTCCCATGGTTCCCGTCCTCTGGGCCCCGAGTGACGGCGAGGGAATACATAGGATGAGGCCTCCGGGCACAAGGGAATGAACTTGGGTCCATAGGTATCCATGGATAGTTGAGATCATCATCAGGGATTCAATTATAGAAGAAGTCCCCATCTGGTCCCCCAGCGTCATCTAGCATAAACTGCACGTCAGTCCCTTCGCTCGACTTGGGGTGCTCGCAAAGAAAGACGGAATCCTCGGCTCGAATCTCCTCTGAACGCCGTACTCAGCTTCATCATCAGATCCTTCAGCCGAAGGATCCATCATGGCTCGTGATCGGAATACCTCAGCGGAGTCAGTTTCGGAAACCTTGAGACCGCAGATCTGGCTCCTAGAGAGCTTCAGACCTCCAGAAATCGTTTCCTACAGGAACGCGGTACTCCTTTCCTTCGACCCGAGTGGGACTGATATCTGCGAGATATCCAGTGCGGCCCCGCCATGGTTTTAACTTCGGTCACAACTTCGAGAACCCGCTTACCGTCCATGTCGTCTTCCGCGATAAAGGGTTTCGCGAGGCTGCAAACCGATACCAAGTATACTCGCGGGGGAGGGGAAACAAATTCTCGACATGCGAGCGTGATTCGGACAGGCCGGCGATTAGACCTAGAGCAGCGGTTCCCAACCTGGGAGCCGCGGGACTTTTCTGGGGGAGCCGCGGACGAATTTCTGGTGTAGGTCCGGGCCGTCAGGGTTTGTCGATTCCAAGGGAAGGTTCCGAAACGGATCGACCTCATCTGCCACGGTTGTGTTCCCGCCATTCCGCCCAACTCTATCGAGGAGTGAACGAAGCAAAAATAAAATCTCACTCGCTTCCACACCACCGCACGGAGCACCTTTTGTTTCCTTGTGTCTTCCCCGCAGAGAACACTTCATCCACCACTAAGCTTTTTCCCGTGAGCTTCGAGGAGCTCAACTCTTCTCTTCCGTCGAGAGAGATTGGGCTCATTTGTTAGAGAGCTCTGGTATGCCCGCGAGGCTACCTTCTCCAGCCAGGAGCTGCTTGTCTCCGGAGATTCCCATTCAGTCTCTTTAACGGGGAATCGACGGGAGGGAGGCGGAATATTCGTAAACAATATATGCACATGCAAGTTATGAGTGCCGGAATTGAGCTGCGAATGGTCCTTTTAGGGGAAAAAGAAGGGAGAGTAGGTAGGAGCCGCGGGAGCCGCGGGAGCCGCGTGGGCACTGGGTATCCTGGGAGCCGCGGGAGCCGCGTGGGCACTGGGATCCTGGGAGCCGCGGGGGAATTCTGGGTTGGCTAGGGAGCCGCGGAGCCAAAAAGGTTGGGAACCGCTGACCTAGAGGAACGGCTTCGCTCGTCGAAAGCATTCTGCGCTCCTTCCATTCAACATGCTTATCATCGAATGATCACTCCCCACAAATGGTGAGAATCATTACGCGAAGCCACTGAATATGTCGAGGAGAGAGCTTCGCTCGGGCTAGGTACTTTCGGCCGCGATTACCCCCCGCGCTTCGGAGGGAGCGCGGGCGGATATATGAACTAGGACCTCTTTCACCGAACATTCCAGATGACGCACTTCTTATTCAAGCCAGTTTTCGGTTAACGAGGGAATTTCGTCTTCTCCCCTGGAACATTCTCCTCCCGGAAAGCGGAATCTGAGCTTGCGGCCTCGTTTTATCATACATGGACCCCAATCAGACTGACGGACTTTAGACTCAGAAGGCAGCAGTACGTTTATGATCCCGCCATTAATGACTTTTTTGTGCTTGTTCCGAATCGACATTGGATATGGCGATATGGGATGGTGAGATACCCACATCCTCGCGGATGGCTAGATCAAATGCGGAATCATAATCTCTAATCACGCGAATGCTGGACAGGTCGCGGTCCTACTAGGCAGCTAGGAAACGAATCCTAGAGCCATCGGCGGATGCTGATCGCACTCGTCTGCCTTGGCGGAGTGTCTACCGATGCTCGCCCCCAGGTTTGTAGACTAATTGAGCATCAGTCGGGGGTCATAACAATGACTCTCCGGAAACGAGGTCTCATCGTGGTGAATAAAGACCCCGCCCTCCCACTCGACGAAAACGCTGGAATGCACCCAGTTCGGCGCTCGGTGTCCGAATCGATAGCTTTCTGAGCGAAGACGAAAATCCGCTCGATCGAGATGTTCGCCTTGAGCGCAAGCCAATTGTTCTGATTAGACCACCCCGGATGCTCTACGACTCCGCATTCCGAGAAACAAGTTGCTCGCTCAATTTGTCAGTCATTTTCGAAGCGTGCAGTCTCGACCTGTGGAGCTGAAAAAATCCTCACATGAATGAGAACATCAGAGAGCTCGCCGAGTTTCACCGGAGAGTCGAAGGGAGCACGATCCTCCTTTCTCCGCTCAGGATCTCTACAAATATCTCCTCCGAGCCCATGAAAAATCATTGGGTATCCTCGTGCCGACCTATCTTTTGCTGCTCCTCTAGTCAAGTGCTGTGTCCCTTCTTGGACGAAATCGCTCTCAAGTTCAATCATTTCCGCTACGTATAGGAAAAGTAAGTAGGCAGACCAATGATGCGAGCTTACCTAGGCGTGAGATCAGCTCCTACTGAGAGAGTGGAAAAACCAACGCCTCATGCCTTCCTTTAGCGAAATTCGCCCCTTCCATTGCGCGGAGCGCTCCGACGGTTGAGCTCATTCTCGCTGGGGAGCTCCGATCCCCGCGGCTTTCCCACGGGGGACCTCTCTTGTCCAGTCCCACCAGGGCTTGTCTTCCTTCCCTGAGCGCATGACAGCCACAGCGGGAACACCTGTTGCTCGAAGGAATCATTCGCCATAGGATCGGAAGTCCGTGGGATCGGAAGAGTAGGCCACCCCTGCCTGAAACCGCGCAGGTTGTCGAAACTCAATCCTTGATGAGGACGCCCGAGAGCGGCAGATCGTCGGGTGTGTGTCGACCGACTTATGCTGGTGTGCTGCCCGGAATGTAGGCTTCGTCCTCGTTCCCTCAAACTCAAGACCTTTAAACCCGCTCATGTCGAGGTCCTCTCGTAACTTGGTCGGGCGCGGACGAGGACACGTGGGGAAAATCCGAGCTCTTTTGATCCTTAGAGCGGAGAGATTCATGTTTCGATCAGAGGATCCCCAAGCCGTCGTCCGCCTAACACGCTGCTCCATGGAACAAGTAATGAGATGGGCTACAATAGTCAGTTTCGTCATCCACAGATCCCGAATGAATATGCAACACTTCGGATGGCTGATGATCTTCTCGATCTTTGTGATCGGACCGCTGGCCGCGACAGCTGAAGATAGCTCATCTGGGCCAACAAAAAGCGGCGTCTCCATTCCTGCGAGTAATCTCACAAGGCCCCTAGGTGAGTATCTTGCTCTGGTTACGAAGTCTCCGCGAGGGGGCGTCCCCCGGTGAAGCGCGGGATACGTGTCTGGTGTGGGAGGAGCTTGAAAAAGAAGAAGGACCTGTGATGTCCCTCGCCCTGAATGACGACCGATCCGTGGGTATATCGGCTTTTCGTCCGAGCTCCTCCCTCAACACATCTATTCCCGATTCTCGGATAAGTTACGGCCAACACGAAGAAGTACCGAGTGTATCAATCATATTTTCCAAATTTAGGTCACAAACACACGATCCTAGTCGAAGGAAGGGAGGTGAGATGCACACCGGCGGCCATAGAGGAATTTCCTCGCCCTTTCCTCGACGCAAAGACGCGGGCCCGTGGTGGCATCCTGGTCTACGTTTTTCTAGCAATATGCATAATACTGACGATATCCGTACTATGCAAAGAATATTTCGTGCCAGCTCAAGACTGTTTGATCAAATGTGAGTACCCAGCGAATCCGGAGCGTACCTCTGCGATGGAATTCCTCCGCGAGTTCGGAATGTCGCATCGGAGTAAGCCCATTTTCGAAAAAGTATTCCGTAAGACTGTTTCGAACTTCCATCACAGACCTCGGGATGAATTCAGACGTGGCGGGCGCGACTATCATGGCAGCCGCTAGTTCCATACCAGCTCTCGTCACCTCTGTGATCGGCGTGAATGTTGTCGAGGTTAGTTCATAATCGCAATTATCGAAGAATCATCAAAAGGAGAGGACGGATTCGGTAACGATTGTTATCTCCGATCAGCACGTCGTCTCCTATAGGACGCTGGTCCTGCCGGACAGTGTCAGAAAATGAAATTCTAATCTTACAGAACGATCTCGGTCTGTCGACGACGCTCGGATCTGGGGTTCTCAATGCCGCGGGGGTTCTCTCAGTCTGCGCTCTCTTCGCGGATCGTTCTGTTGAGCTCCATGCGTGGCCTTTGGTCAGGGGCTCGTTCTTCTTCCTTCTGAGCATGCTCATCGTCCTGTTCGCGCTCATGGACAGCGAAGTAGATTGGTAAGAGACCGGAAGAAGCTTCAGAAATGGATAATATTTGGTGCGATGAATGTAATTAGAATTACGTTGAATTAAGAGGATATTCGCTGATGGATTCGCAGGATAGAGGCGACCGTCTGCCTCCTAGCTTATGCTCTATACACTCTCGCGCACGTATACAACGGGCCCCTGGAAAGATTCTTCAAATATGTCACTGGACTTCAGGACCGAGATGAACGTGAGTTCCTCGAGAATCGGCATGCAATCCCTGATCGCATTCACCGGCTTTCGCCTCATAATACATAATACATGCCCAAGAATTAAACAGTCTCATCGAAACTTCTGGAATTAAGCTAAGGGGACTTTGCTTTCCGCTTGCAGGCGACTTGACCATCGTTGACAGCCGAGTGCGATCGCAGGCAATCATTATGGAGACCATAGTGGATGGTTTCTGTGTCATATCGGATATCGGTGAGTTCAATAGATACCACCCGAGGTTTCACCGAGAATTTCTTCCCCCGCAGTCCAAGGGCGCAGCAACAGCTTCAGTGGGGATCGAACTTCATATTCAAACTTGCGAGGAAGCTGCAGTCGAGTCGTTTGGCGCTCCGATCGACTCCATGCGCGACCGACTGGTGAAATTGGCTGAATTCGACTTCATTTCACGCAGCTCATCGAGGATCATCGATTCCGGAGCGAAATCATTCCATTCGATAAAATCATTCATGCCTCTCTAGGGATCTTCCAGAAATCACAGAAAAAAAATTTGCGATACCTCATGTATGGTCCCGAGCCTCTTCCCTAGCTCGAGCCCTTCCGTTCAGGATCCTCCATTCATTTCAGATGACATGACCGCGAAGAAGCTCAAAGCCAAAGGAAAGGATTGTAAGCTCGCCAAGGCACGACCGGAGACTGACCCGAAAGCATGGGGGAACCTCAGTCTGGGTCGCAAAATTTTCCGCATACTCACAGCTCCTTCTGCTAAGATTCTCTCGTATGTGATTCCGAATTGCAAGAAGCCCGGATTTGAGAAATACTTCTTGCTCACTTTCGTAATGTCCGGGGCCTTGATCGCGACCCTGTCGTACAGCCTCGTCTGGATGATGGCCGTCATCGGTAGGTCAATTCTCCTCCCCATTTATTCTGGGGGCTTGAAGGCACCCCGCAAGCTTCCTCGGAGTTCAACGGATTCTCCGCCGACCCCTACGATCGTTTGACATTCTTATCCCATCCTTCACTCTAGGATTCACATTGGGTATCCCAGATAGTGTACTAGGCTTGACGCTCATGTCCTTCTCTGTGACTCTTCCGGATGTGATGGCGGCCGTTCTTGTGGTCAGGAAGGGTTACGGAGACATGGTCGTCTCCTACGTGCTGGGCACAAACATTTTCGAAGTTCTGGTCGGTCTCGGCTTGCCCTGGCTCGTGCAGACGACCATCATCAAACCAGGGATCGCTATCGAGCTGCAGAGCGAAGGTAAGAAATTCAGGCAATTCCTGCAATGAAAGTACGACCCATCCATTAGAGCGCTCGAGAATCCGCTTCAAGTAGAGTCCCATTTTCTATGTAGATCATATTTCTGCGCTTAGATCCAAAGGAGGTTTTTTCTACTCCGTTTGCAGGTCTGATCTACTCCACGGCTAGCGTATTGTTCACAGTAATCCTAGTTCCGACATTGACGTACGCTACTCGATGGAAGATGAACAAAACCTATGGAGCGATCCTCCTCGTGTGGTATCTGACTTTCATGATCTTCTCGTGCCTGTATCAAATGAATTTCTTCAATGACTCCAATCCGCCGTCTTGTGGAAGTCTGTACTGAGCGTTCCCCCTCATGATGAATAAACCTTCTGAAACTTCGTATCTGAAAACCCATGCCTTTTGAGGAAAATGAGTAGGCGATTTTTTCGAAGCTCACGCGAGCACCGCGGATGCCCCAGTGGGGGCGATCAAGGACTGCCAATGTCCCGGTTTTGAGAATCTCTCCGTACTCATGTCAATGCTTTCTTCGCTGGAAGAAAAGAAGAAGAAGACAGGCTAAGGGCATGGAGAGCTGCTCAACTTACCGCAAACTCAGCTCGTCGTCCAGGGTTCAAGAGCCTCCTAGTTATCTGCGATATCTAGTCATCATTGTCATGAAACAGCGATTGATCCGGTGTTCGAGCTCGTTTCATCGCCCTTTTCCTCTTTCCGTTGAGCACGCTGTCCCCCCCGCAGATCCTCATCAGTTCCTACAAAACTTGTTCGCGGAGAGTGATCCGATCAACCCGGGACTCTTCGGCGAGACTCTCTCCGGTGCAGATAGGTTCACCTTCGAAATCCTTTAGTTCTAACACGGTGAAAACGAGCTCATCTCCTCCAGATGTTCGAAACCTTCAGAATCGATACGGATTATATTGCGTTCCAAATGCTCCACAATTGCCTTCATGTTGATGATTCCACTCAGGAGCCAGGGTCGCAAGTCACCTCCTTTGCTTTTGCGATGCTCGAGGCTGCCGACTTGGTTCGGCAAAATATCACAGCCTGATCCATTGTCAAAGAACTATAGATATTGACGAGAGCCGTACTGAGTGACGTTCTTGAGCGATTCTTCTTCGCGCTCAAATGTGATCTGCAAAATTCCATGTCAAACTCCGATCGAGGTCGATTGAAGCACATGGAGGTCCGTAACCGGTTCTTACAAAAGTTGTAGACATCTCCAGAGAAGAAGCAGGCATCCGAGGATTTCTCTCGATCGAACGGAAGGATTCGGAATGATTAGTACGAACTACGAACCCTCACGCAGGGTTCGGCCACGACAAGTTCCGTGAACTCCAGGACCTACTCGTCATAGGTGGCTGATAACAACAGCATCTGGGGGCCGACCGGAAGTCTGCGATGTATCCGCATGCTGTGACTACGGTGGCCGGCTTGAGAAACCATGACATCGGCTTCATCCAGTACGAAAACCTAGGTCGACGGTAATCGTCATCGGAGGAGTGACGATGAGAGAGTTGGGCTCTAGACGATCATTCTCGTTGATGGAGAACTCACTCTGATTTTCGAGACATCGAAGAAGCAGTATTTCAGGGTCCGATCGATAATTTTCCCGGGAGTGCCGATGACGACCTAGTCCTTGAAACGAACTTCCGGGAGGCAGAATTCGAAAGGAACGGAGGCTCTGTTGGATTCCTTTCACGAGGCCTCAGGCGGAATACGTCCGCCCGTCTTTGAGGTTCTAGAGTCTGTAATCAGAACATTATGCCAGAGGCACTCAGAAATCAAGAAGACTGAGGCTACATATGAGATCGTATAGACTTACTGAAGCTGCGACGGCTCCAGGAAGAGATCTTTGTAACTTGTTTGAAATAATGGTATGCCGTGAGGGGTATTCGGGACACATATAAACAATCAGCCAGCGAGTGCGGCGCGGTCCCCTTGATGCTTTCGGATTATAACTGCCGTGGATTGTCTGGAAAATCGATGCGAAGGAAGATCTCTCTCTCCAACAAGGACGTCCGACGAATCATTGCTTTTGCTTGATTCTAGACGGCGTGCTCGGCCGACTCTCGGCTGCTGCGGGCCGTCGACTCCGGGGCTCCACCCCAGCCAGCCGCGGCGCTCGAAGAACATTCCGAGAAATGGCAACAATCACAATAAACTTTATCGGCACACAGTGAAGTCCCACTCAACGAGCCTGATACGTGGAGAGGATCGTTAACTGAAAAGTTCGCTGAGCGGAAACATAATTGTCAATGGGCCCGATGAGTCGGGGAACACGTGGCGCTCGATTTTTGTTTAGAGAATACTTAAAGTTATTGCGCTCACGGCGGTAATATTCTATTGTTCTTCGAATACATTATTTCTAACCTCAAGCTGCCGGACTTGAGGGTCGGAAGATCGGAGGTTAGTCGCTTGCTCCTCTCTCAATTTCAGGATGCGTTTTAGGCAAGCGATCGAGTTCTACTCGAGCACTTCGCCGAGTCTCATTATTCTATTTCCGGTCATGCATATATATTATGCTGCGAGTCGACTCGCTACCGGAGGATAGAAACCGAGGATCCGGAAACCTCAAGACACTCGAGGTCCGGCTCTGTTCGTGGCTCGAGCCAGTTTGCAATGCGGGTCGATGGTGCCAATTTAAGCGAGAAAAAGAAAGTTCATCGTCGGGTACGTACGTTGTGTGAGGCGTCCGTAAACCGGAACCCCACTGTTCATCAGTCGACAGTGTCGACTCGACACCTGACGGTTTCAGGCTGAGCGGCCCCGTCTTCCGCTGGACATCTCCTCGGAAAGTTCACGAATGCGCTCGGTCGTTCCAGGCTACCCGAACTGAGAAATTCCACCGTTGTAATAGCATGCCGAAGTCAACCAAGCACCAGAAGCCTCGAGGAGCATTGAGATTCGACCCGAGAAGGAATCTCTGGGCTTGGAAGACCGGAAGTCGTCGAAGATCTCCCTCCGTGTTCCACGATCAAGTCGCGATCCCTCACAGCTCTGATACTCGTGGGACCCTCAAGGAGAAGGTCGGGGACCTCCGTGAGCACGAGGATTTCACTAGGTCCAATCCGTTGATCGAGATCATCCGCGAGGCTCGCTGATGCACTCAGGAGGTATTCCACGTCTTATTCCTCCTTCGATGTGTGACCTCCCGGATGCATACCGCAATTTCCCACGTTGCAGAGCCATCATGCGATCGAAAGTGTTACCAAATTAATCACACCGAATGTTCCGTTCCAAAAAAATTTAATCAAATCAGGGCTACAGAAACCCGAGTCATATAAGAATCCGGAGAGATTTCTCTCGGGAGAACCCTCTCCGCGATCGACCCTCTCCCTGTACATAAACATCCGTGGAAGAAATCACAGCTCTCCAAGACGATCAAGATTGAGTTCCGATTTTCTCCAGGAGTTCGAAATCTTCGAAATCAATGGGTATAATATTCCGCTTGAAATGCTCTTCTATTCTCTTGATGTTCATCATGTCACGTGGGCTGTTGGGATTGACAAAATTTATCGCGACACCGGTTTTTCCGAAACGCCCAGTGCGTCCGATACGGTGCAGATAGGTCTCGAAATCCGGATCCCCTTTTTCATTCACGGGGAGGTCGAAATTGACAACAAGCGAGACCTGAAACAATCTTGCGTTAGAAAGGTTGTCGGAGCCAGAAATTCCTGATGCGGAGTGCAGCAGTATTCGACGCGCACGGTCCGAGGAGCTGGGGCTTCTCTCTCGAACTATCACTCGAACTGGATTTTGGACTCAAGTGACCTCACCTGTTCGATGTCGATTCCTCTCGCACATAGATTCGTCGTCACCATCACTTTCTCTATGCCACTTCTGAAGCGCTCAATGGTCTGAACTCTTTCCTCCATATCGAGATCTCCGGTCAGCATTGAGACGCTCTGCCCGAGTTCCTACGAGAAGCACTCGAATAAGAGACTATGAAATCGGAGAACCATTTCCTTAGGACGCCTTTGAAAGTCGAGATGAGACGTACCTTCATCGCTCTCGCGATCGTCGACGCCGCCACTTTCGTATGGCAGAAAATTACAGCCTGGCCCACCGACAAGGAACTGTAGATGTTAAGAAGAGCTCGCTGCTTGCTCTCGTCATCGGGACAATGCATGACATACTGTCCGATGTTCTCTAACGACTCCTCTTCGCGTTTTAGGGTAATCTGTAATCCACACCGAAATTCAATGAGCGGTTCTCGCGACGACATCATAGGATGATCATCCGGAATAAATCATCCTTCCATTTCGCTCTGATTTTTCATCATTATAGGTAAGATGCGATCTCTCAGGACGAACCTTGATGCAAGGGTCAGGTATAATCATGTCTGCGAACTGTATGACATCTTTGTCATAGGTGGCCGAAAACAACATCATCTGACAGTCGGCGGAAAGTTTTCTATGGATTCTAATACTCTGGTCGTGATGACCGCGTTCAGCGATCATGACGTCGGCTTCATCGAGCACAAAAACCTGTGGAACAGCACTCAGTTGATACGTCGTAATCTCCGCGAAGTTTTCATACTTCCCCTAACTCGAAATCGTCCACATATCAACTCTCGAGATCTGAATGTCGTCTATCGAACTTTACCTTGATTTTGGAGATGTCGAAGAATCTGAATTTGAGAGCCCAATCGATCATTTTCCCAGGGGTGCCGATGACGATTTGCTCCTGGATTTGACTCCCAGGCGGCAGAATCTGCGGCGACGAGAATGAGTTTACAGGGTTGTGGCGAAAATGCCGGTCCGGGCTGCTGGCGCAGCTGTATCTCCATGATTTCACGATCCGAACACTCTCTTACTGAGAACTGCAGTTCCGCGCATCATAATCATAGGAATTCAAAAGGCTGGTCGGGAGACCGTCTCACTCTGAAAATGGTTTTACCTGTCCTCGCACGACGAACTTCACTTCGATTTTCTGGCAGAACTGGAGCATTTGTTGCGCGACCGTGGCTGTTTGCTTAGCGAGCTCGAATGTAGGACTCAGGATGAGAACTTGAGGGTATTTGAGGTTTTCATCCACACGACTGAGCGATGCGAGAAGGAAAGTCGCAGTTTTCCCGGTGCCCGACTGGGACTGAGCGATCATGTTGATTGGAGGGTCCGCGATCAGGGTCGGTAAAGCGGTCTCTTGAATTTTGGAGGGCTTTTGAAAACCCATCTTGTAGATGGCTCTGAGAAACTCATCGCGAAGTTTAAGCTCCTCGAACGTGTGAACCGAATACAGAGGGGAGTTGGGGTCTGAACGTTGAACCTGCACCTCGTTTTTACTCTCGAGCAAGGTAGTCCTCAGCAACTTCTTCATGAAGGATCTCTCGCTCTCAGGAAGATTGCTGTGAACGGGTCGTTGTCATGAGTGAGCGCCTTCAAGTCTCAATTGGGATTTCCGGCGATTCTCTCGCGAGACATCGGATATCGATTGTCTAGAGTCAATGAGGATACTCACGGCTCATCTCCATCTGTTACAACGGTGTTGCCTTCTGCTGGGGATTGATCACTTTCTGTGCTCTGTTTCGTCAGAGCTCCACCGACCCCTTCTGCTCCAGCATCTCCTGCCGGCCGATCGTCTCGGGCATCTGCCATTCCGATTCAGGTGCCCAGAATTCAAGGATGCTTCCGGCTCCAAAAAATCCTCCTTGCAAACTGGGGAGCTCTGATCAGAATACGCCTCGACTCGATGAATGATCTGGCTGAGACAAATGTACAAAGTCAATCGTAGGTAGAGCCGGCGGCAGGGCGCTCCCTTTGGAGGATCGTCTGCTTGCGTGTGTGTTGATGTTTCTACCCTCACTCTCCACATCCCCCTCGGCTCGGCTCTCTCAGGACAGTTAAGGCGCGGTATTTCGAACGCGATTGAGAGCTCCAGGAGATCGGATGCTCTGCGGCAGGCGTAAACTGTGTCCAGGAGGCTCTGGAGGTCAAATGCGCCTTATCCGGAAGCCGTCATTTCCAAAATCTCGGAGTCAGCTGGCGCCTTCGCGCTCAGTCGTCCGCGGGGTCCCCTTCGGGTTGAAACCAGGTTTCACGTAGTACAGAAAACTGAGGACATTCCGGATCGGGGAAAATCTTGTTCCCCCTGCGCACTTCCCCCTGATGCCCCCTTCGCCAGAAACATTCTATCAACATGGGCGCAAATCTGTCCTGACATGCGAAGGGTTGATGCCGAGGGAGCGTGCAGCACATTGCCGGGGATGCGCGTGAAAAGGTGCCCGGGAACCATGGAATCAGTGGGCCGACGGCGCAAGCGCCGGGCGAACACCCGAGTGTTTGCCTCGGTCTATCTCGAACTCCGGGAGTTCCCCCTTCGGGAAGAAGAAGGGGTTCAGTCTGCAGCTGGCACCACCGAGGACTATTGCTCGATCGTGATCGAATCAAAACCCGGGTCTGAGTCGTGAGGAGCGACGAAAATCCTCTAATTCGATCGTCGCTTATCCGGGACGGCGACCCCGAATTTCCTAGCGGATGCAAGTCTGGATGTTCGACTCCTTCGGGAGGAATTACCGCTTGCGCTTCGAAAACACAGGTGGCTGGCTTGCGCTTCGAAAACACAGGTGGCTGGCTTGCGCAACGAGCATCTCCGAGCCGATCAAAGTTCGGACTCGCTAGTCTCCATCGGCGATTGACCGGAAGCGACGACCATTGCGGGGGTACCACGGTTCTTCTGCCGGCCGAAGGATCCACCGACGATGACCAGATATGCGATTCCTCCAGCGATTCGATTCTGCTGTCGGACACCGAAAGTCTCCCATGGCTCTTCGCTTTCCAAGACGATGCAGATATGTCGAGGGCGCTGGTCTCATGAAACTTGTGAAATGACTTACGGTTGCGTATTTCTTGGCGATCGGAAAGATGAATGATACTGGAAGGATCGATCCTCCTTAGTTGGGATCGACGCGTACGTAGGTCGGTTTGGCACGAGCTTGAGCTGCACAAACAACGATCGAGTTCGGTTGCGAGACTGCTGGTGGAGATCTGTCGAGCTCTAGAAGTCTTCCGGATGGGCGAGGACATCTTCTCCCAGACCATCGGAACCCACCCTCCCGGAAATCCTCCAACCCGGAGGATTTCCAGACAACCCATCAGCCTCAGCATCGTTCGAGCACAATCTATCCTTTCATTGACTTGAAGCGGTACAGGTCATTTGGGCGGAAAGTCAAAAGGGCGAGACTGCCTATTGGGCGAAATGCCACTTGGGCGGAATGCCATTTGGGCGGTATGCGGACTTGGCGAGGACTCTCTCGGAAATACGAACCCAAGCTATTTTCAGTGTGCAGCATTTGAGTTGTTGCCATTCGCGAAACTTCCTCGTGTCTCCATTGAAGCGAGGGACTTCACGAGCTCTTCGGCCGAGAGAATAGCGTTCCTCTTGGAATCGCGCTGATTTCCTGCGGTCCGGGTACGTGAAAGTGTCTCCTGCTCGGAAGTCGTACTCGAACTCCATCGGATCTGCCGTGGCCCCCGCAGATGACCGAATCGGTAACTCGGTCCGTCTTTGGTCGCTGTTGGCGGTCGCCTGGGATACCGTTGAGGATCCGAGCGGTGTTCGCACTGGATTTTCCGGCGGGAAGTACACGTTTCGTGTTGGAGGGCGTCGTGGGGGTGCCTTCCGAGCTTGCTGAACCAAGCTTCGGGTGTCGATGAAACTGTGTTTGAACCTAACCGAGCCTTCTTCCTCCCTCTCGTGATCTAGTGGAGTGCTCTGGAGGATTGTTGTTTTGTTGTTGTTGGATGTTCTGGCCGGCCGATTCCACCGATGCTGCTCTCGATCGGGATTCGGGCTCGGACACGAAATTGATCCAATCTCGCATGTCGTCCAGGTAGCCGTATGCGTCCGCCACGAGCATAGCGTAGTGGATTGTTCGGTCCAGCAGTGACTCTTTGTCGATCGCCAACCGTGTTCTCAGCGTGTCGATCTCTTTCGTGAGCTCGATCGATTCTGCTTCGGCCGTCTCCAGTATCTTGCGGAGAGTCTCGACTGTTCTGGAGAGTCTCGCTGGAGAAGCGTTAGGATCGATATTGCGAATTTCCTCGCCGATGGTTTCCAATCGTTTGTATATGATTGTGCGCGCATTCTCTCTCATTTTGAGTTGTGCTGCTATTCCATCGTTTATCTTGAGGAGATTCCTTGAGCACTTTGGGGATGACCGCTGGTACTTTTTCCCCTCGGTTCTGCCATGAGGGGCCCGGGAGCTGACTGTCCTCGGGACACGCGCCTTCTGCGGGCATGATGACTCTCTCTATCGACAGGGCGAGCGACGCACTTGATTTGTAGCTGAAAACTGGCGTGATCTGAATTCAGGTAATTCGTCGATCGGAGTCGATTCGGAAGATCGACCCGCTTTTGACAGCGATGATGATGATGGTTCAGTAGATCCGTCGGCAACGGATCGCTGGAGAGATCGTCGGGTTCGAAGAGTCTGCCGCCAAATATCAGTCGGGGAGGGGATCACGGGGGATTTCGACCGGACGTAATATTATTGGGCTGGAGATGCTTCTGATGTGATACTCTGACCTGAGAAATCTCTAGGCCTCGCGGCGTGACGCGTGAGCTCCGTTCCGTACACTTCTGACACCGAAATTTCATGAATCCTCTACTGGCTAGTCAAGGAAGACGCGGGGTTCTCCTTCACGGTCGCTGATTAGGGGATACGTGCACTAATGAGGGATTGGGGGTTGGAGTTGCCTAACGTGATAGACACCTGCCGTGATGATTTTCATCCGAGTGAGTGATTGTTATCTTTATTCCCTCTCTCCCCTCTCCCTCACGCGACCGTCCCCGATGCGCGACATTTATTGTTGGACACTGTATTACTGGAAATATATGTATGGATACGGGCATATGCACAGATTTGGGCCCTCTTTTACACCATACGACGACTCGTATGTGACAGTGGGATGAGCTCCGGCGGAAGAAGAGGCGCGAGTTCCGGACTGCCTCGTTGAGCTATGCCGGTGGCACGAAAGCTAACGCCGCAAACATCCTCGTTTCGAGGGCGAACTCATCGTCATTACTGTACCTATTGGAAGCAAGATTGGAGAAGGGGATTCGGCGGTTTTTCGGGGAAATATTGTTCAAATTAATGGATTCACCAGTCGCGCAAATCGGGGTCTCACCGGCTCATGAGCCCCTCTCCTGCCACCCTCAGCTTGATGTTCTTCACTAAATGGAAGAAGCATCCATCGATCCTGATGTCAGGCGAGAAAACGCTTCTCACTGCATTCATCACGGCTCTCTTGAAGTCCATGACGACGGAAGAAGGATCCAGAGCCGGCCATGCGTCCTTGAGGAGGGACAGCGTCCTCGTGTACGTTTCAGCCGTTTTGTTTGGTAGCAATGCGTATGCGATCTGCAATACACATTGCGACCGCTCAACGAGAACGACGAAAATCTGCATAGCGGTCAAGACTTCATTGAAGCCGCAGGAGCTCTCGGGGCCCAAATTGAATCATTTCAATCGGATGTAGAGAATACTCATGAGTGCCACCGTGTTTATACCTGGGAGAAAAGCGACGGCGCTAGACTGAACCTTCCGTCGAGGTACAGCTTGTCGACCATGCAGATCCATTCCCTGGTGGATTCTTTTCCGAATATTATCTATAATAATCCGGTCCGAATCACCCTCGCCACTATCAGCCACGACGAAGCTCTCGAATCGACCGGGCCTAACCTCATAGAAACGATCGTGCTCCGGGATGACTATGGCGCTCTGCGATTCGAAATTCCTCGGTGTGCCTGATATGATGTTCCTGTGCCTATTGATCATTCGTGCCATGACGGAGCGCTCTGGCAGACGGCCGAGCGTTGCTCTCGATGCCGTTAGGAATGCGGAAGACATCAGCGAAGACGGCGGCCTCACATCGACGCTATATTGCTGCTCGAACCTTCACAACTTCCACGCCTGAGGGGTCGATGAGATCAGTGTGCGCGCCTTTCGTACGGAGAACTTCCCCTGTTTCAAGCAGGGTATAGGCCCGAGCACGGCAAGGACACGACACACGACGCATTCTCGTATTGGCAACTCCGACTCTGAACCGTACCCCCTCCTATGACCGAGTCCCTGACATTCATGCGACCATCATGGATTAACTTATCACGACCCTTCTGGGTTTGCGTCAAGTTGCAAGCCATGTCTTGAGAGAATCGGGGGAAGATTGCTGCTGATGGAGCTTTCCAGCTGATCGAGCGACGGATTCGAATTCTACGGAGTCGTTCAGCTCTTGCTACCGAGATTGCTGTCTCGATTCCTGAATTGCAGTTCCGCCCAGATGGCTTTCCGCCCAAATAGATTTCGCCCAAATGGTATTTCGCCCGAAGGGTATTTCACCCAAATAGCATTCCGCTCAAGTCGCATTTCGCCCAATCGGCAGTCTCGCCCTTTTGACTTTCCGCCCAAAGGACCGTGTTCGGAGATGAAGGACCTCGTTGGTCCCCGGACAGGAGCCAGAACCGCTCAAGATTTCTGAAATCTAGGGGTTGACCGGTATCCATGTGGGTTCTGAGTTCTGAATCAGCCTGATGGAGCTCAATTAGAGAGAATCGAAGTGGATCGAAGTTTCGATGGCCAGCAGGTAGGTTTGTTGAATCGATAGGACGATTGCAAATATTCGTATTCGGATGGGATCTCCCCGATAGAAGAACGACAGAGTCTTCCGATATAATTGTCTGCTGTCGGCTTTGCGGCTATCTCTGTGAATGGGTGGTCTGGCGAATTTTCTGTGCACCGAAAAACGAGCTCGATCGTTTGCAGGACCCCGGCTCGGGTTGCGGTTCAGCTTCACGCAATACTCGGGCGTTAAATAAATGGAACTCGAGCGCATGCGAGGCTAGAAACGTCCGTATCGGCTGTGCTGGTAACCCCCCGACGGAAAGATTTGATCCACACGAGAGAGCTTCCGGTGACAGAAGCGGTGCCTCGAGACCCCTCTTACCTCAGACAGCGCGCACCTCGAGAGATTTGGGGGGTTCAATCGTCTACGGGGTGGGAGACGAGCAGAACTCATGACTCGCGAAGGAGTGTCCAGGAAAAAGGGAATTATCCGAATCATATATGACCCGAAAAATGGGGACCTCAAGTATCTGGACAGAGCTTTTAGATTAATAGGAGAGCCCAGCTTATTCATCCAGAGGATTCCGATCCCGCTGACTCCGGAGGGCTTCGAGTACGGCGGGCTCAAGAAGGCCAAGAAGACGAGGTCGGAGAAATGAGCGCAGCACTCAGCAAACCCTTACCCCGGCCGATATTGACGCTTTGAAACAGAAAAACAAACGAATTCAGGAGACTCCTGGCCCCAGAGAATGAAGAATTCTCCTGTTTGATCTGATTATCTGATTATAATCCTGAGACTCGGGGATCACAGGCGGCACGTGCCGCGTGAGCCTTGATTCAGAGCTCAAGGAACACACGTGTATGATACTTTGTTCTTCGTCAACGCTGAGGACACGAGTTTAGCAATGTTGAACATGCGAACCCCGAACCACAAGAGAAGTACTAAACGAGAAATGTGAAAACCCAGTTGAGAGAGGAATGACCGGCGAAAGCGGGGCGCGGGCGAGGAGTCAGAGCGAGCGATCTCTTTTGATGCCTAATACGACGACGAGAGCGGTCATACCGCAATCAGGGACGACCGACTTGTCAGTTTTCAGAAAAGAACTTGGATATTCGAATAATTCATGATCTTGACTCGTCTCCCTGAAACTCATACAGTGGCGACCATTGGTCATATGAGTTATGAGATAAGTCTACAGGTGAGCGACACTCGAAATGGAACGAGGAGAGGATGAAGCCCCGCGGTTCGAGGGACCAATGTCGATTACTTGAACTGCTTCTCGATAGGGGAGCGCAGTGAGAAGATTTTCGAACTCTAACCGGGAAGGTACAACAGAAGACTCCGGAGACAAGATCCCGCTTTCTGACGTCCGTGGGCGGAATCATCGTCCAAGCCCCTCTGTCATGTGACATGAGGCCCAAGCTCGGGGCACAATTTTCCAAATTGTGGCTTTCGACCACGAATTGCGCCGAGCACGCAGGAAACCTGGCCCTTGAGAGTGAGTCGACGCGGACGTCCTCGGAAAGCTCAAGAAGCTTTTCCCGATGAAGGACCTCGGTCCCGCACAGTACTGTTTAGGTATAAGGATAACGCAAAGACCTGAAGAAAAAGCAATCATGTTGGACCAAGCGGAGAACATAAGGCGTCTTCTGAAGAGGTTCGGATTGGCTGATTCCAAGCCGGTGGGAACTCCAGCAGAAGCCGGCTCGAAGCTGAAGAAGAGAGCGGAGGGCGAGCAACCCGCCAGGGGACAGTATCGAGGAGCAGTCGGTTGTCTGATTCATGTTTCTCAGATAACGCACCCAGGTATATTTCATGCTGTCGGAGTGGTGAGCCAGGTTTGTACTGATCCGTCAAACACGAACTGGATAGCTCTCAAGAGAATTATGAGATACCTCAAAGGGACTGTCGACCTCAAACCGCGGTTCGATGGGAGAACTGTCAAGGCAATCGAAGCCTATTCCGATGCCGATTGGGGCGGGTGCCAGGAGAGTAGAAAACCTACAACGGGATACGCGTGCTTGTTAGCCGGCGGTTGTGTATCCTTGACAAGCCAGAAACAGCCGACGGTCGCGCTATCAACAAAGAAGGCGGAGTACATGGCGTGCTCCGCCGCGTGCCAGGAGATCAGATGGTTGCTGAACTTCACAGAGCTCAGGGATCAGTCAATCATCTCCGACCACCTAGCGGCTGCCTTCTCGATACTCGCGAATGTTAGCGAGTACTCTCCCCCCCCCCTCGTATTGACTACCGTAATGCCAACTACGAGGCCATTGCCGTCAACCTATCGCTAGTCTATTGGCGTGTTTTCTTCGAGCCGTATTCCTCCGTCAACGGCATGTTTTGTGCGCTGAGAGACGCGCGCTCCACCCCCCGACGTCGTCCAAGGTCCACCCATCGCCCTTGAACTCCTTCATCTCCAGAACCGCTCAAAGCCCGAAAACTCGTCTAGACTCGTCAAAAACCTCTCCGAAGCCGCGACACGTCTCCGTCGCCCCCATGAGGGAGGACTCGACCTCCGAGACTCGAAATCGTTGTTCAGTTACGCCCACAGACGACTCAAGATCAAAAGCAGCGTTGCCCCACTCTCCGTAGACGGCGCTCTTGTAGCTGATGATCTCCAGAAAACGTATCTGCTCAAGGATTACATTCAATCTTCATACTTGCCGCCCCTGGGCTCCTCCCCCACCTTATGCCAACAGACACAGGTCGTCATCAATGATATTTATTCGACGCCCATGCTGTGAAGTTGCAGTCCGTCAAGCCTAAGTCGAGCAAGACACCAGATGGTCTCCCTCCGATCATCTTCTCGTAGCTTGGCAACGAACTTGCCGAGCCCCTTTCTGTCATCTATACCCGGTTCTTCGAGGTCGGTTCCCTCCCCGAGTTCTTCAAGACTACAATCGTCACGCCACTCTTCAGAAAAGGCTACCGTAACCTTTTTTCAAATTATCGTCCGATTGGCCAAACATCACTTGCCTGTCTGGTCATGGAAGACATTATCGGCGACCAAATTCGCTCACACCTGTCAAACAAGCTCCTCATCGACCCATTTCAGCACGGCTTCACGAAGAAGCGCCACTCAGCTGCTCGAGGTCTCACAATTCATCACGCTCGCGAGAAATCGGGGCATTCCCATGCACATCGTTTACTTTGAGTACTCAAAGGCCCTTGACTGTATGGATTTCGGGGTTCTCCTGGACAAGATGACGGCAGATGGACTCCTACCGCGTATCACAGACTGCTTCAGGGCCAATCTCTCCGGCCGCACCTTCACGGTCTCAGTGAATGACGCGCGCTCCACCAGAGGCACCATCTCCTCTGGAGTGCTCCAGAGGACTGAAATCGGACCGTTATTGTTCTCCTTGTACATCCAAGACTCTCGATCCTCCTGAAAGACCGTCCACCCCACTACCGTCTATTCGCTGACGACCTGAAGATCTCCTCCGACATCGCGTGCCCCCAAGACTCGATCGCTCTTCAGGCCGCGATCGACGCCAACACGGATTGGGCGTCGTCCAACAACCTCTCCATCGCTACACACAAATGTGCGATCCTCGGAACGTCAGGACCGATGGTCCCATACACCCGAAACGGCTCTCCTATACCCGATAACGCCTCCTATAAATATCTCGGAGTCTCGTTGGACAGAGACCTTTTTAGATCTCAGAGGCTGCTAAGTCGGGCGGCCGTCTTTGCAACCTCATTCTCAGAGCGTTTATCGCCAAGAGACCGGAGTTTTACCTGTCCTTGCTTAACTCCCTCGACAGATCCCGACTCACAAACTGCTGCGAAATCTGGCGGCCCCTCTACAGCAAGGATAAACACCTCCTTCAGGCCGTGATTAGTCGATTCATACGCCGTGTGGCGTCTCGGTGCAATACTCCGCGAAACAAGATCGACATCTCCTCCGTAGATCAATAGCGCCAGGCCATAGATGACCTTTCTAGACGGCATTCAGGCGCATCCGCTCTGACGACAACCTGTCGCATGTCTCCATCTACACTTCGTCTCAGACCCGCTGAGTCATTTCAATCGGCCCCCTCGAACTTGCCAAGAGCTCTGTTGTTGACAACGCCTTCGCGTGGCGCGTCGCCAGATGGGTTCGCGACGCCCCCGATCTTCGGGCCCTAGTCCTAAGTGAACTGAAAACCCCCTGAATTAGTTTTCCGCAAATAAAGGAGATATCACACCACATCACTTTATGGGATCAAATGCCGATTGGGACAAAAACTTGAAGGTTGCGGAAAAGCTTCGTGAATAATTGAAGTACTGCGATAAACAGCTCCGAACGTCAGTCGATCGTGACGCCGACCGGACGGGAGATGGCGGTCTGAGGGGACAGAGGTCCGAACATGGTTCCATCTGCTCAATACTGAAGTGCGCCAAGGGACTGAAACCATTGTTCTTCATCAGATGTAAAGTTTAGGCGCCCCCCTTCTATCCTAGAAAAAAGTCCTGTGTGCGTGCCTGTTCCCGCCTCCCCCCAGTGGAAGCCGCGAACACCGTCTCTCAGGCAGCCACGCATATTTGGCCGTGACAATTTTGCTCGTCAATTGCCTCGTTTCTGAGAATTTCCACGATCAATTTTGTGGCCAATTTCTCGCGATTCGTTCCCCATTCCCCCCACGTGTCGCGGGTCAAATGTAGCTCCACGCTAAAACATACATCCGGTAATTGAAAAATATTTCCATTGGATAAAAAGTACAGTTCAGATTTAGAATCGGATATTCATATATTAAGATATTTATTTCTAATTCTACCTAATCATAAACATAGGCCACGGCTCCTTGCACTGGCTTCGTGGGATTTCTCATTGGCTACGGAGAGCCAGCTCGCCTCGGGTTGACTAGATCTTTGGTTCCTCCCCTCCCTCGACGCTCCTCTTCAGTACGAACTCCCGCACGAAGGTGGGTTAATGTCCGTGAAGAAGTTCATTTGGTACAGGCATGAAGAGACCATGAATGTGATATACCACAGCAGTAGTATCACACCAAAAGTCTTGTTCATCCTTCCCCGGGTAGCGCAGGTCAAGGTTGGCACCAAGACCACGGTGAACAAGACGCACCCAGTGGAATATACCAAACCTGCAATTATTACACCTCATGTATTCGAATGTGCAATGTTCAATCACGACCTCTATGCGAGAGCATTCAAACGATAGCTTCCCCACTTTCGAATTCCCACTCACCGGAACTCTGGAGCACGATGGGGACTCCTGGTTTGATGAGGGTCGTCTGGAGGAACCAGGGCAGCCCTAGACCAATGAGAACCTCGAAGATGTTGGCCCCCAAGACATAGCAGACCACCATGTCTCCGAAGCCCTCCCGGACTAGGAGAACGGCGGCCATGACGTCTGGTAGGGTGACCGACATGGACATCAAGGTCAATCCCAGGACGCTGTCCGGAATTCCGATCGTGAACCCTGGAAGCAACCCACGCATTAATTCCAGGATGAAAAATGGATTGTCAGCGACCGGAGAAGTGAAAGATGTTCAATTGAGTGAACCCACCGATGATCGCCATCATCCAGACGAGAGCATACGAAGAGCAGGCGATCGAAGCCCCGGAAAGCAAGAAGGTCAGCGCGAAGAATTTTTCGCTGCCTGGCTTCTTGCAATCCGGGATCAGGCACGACAGAATATAAGAGACAGGCGTCTCTACCGCGCGGGAGAATTTCTGCGGTAAGCTGAGGTCCTCCCACGCTGGCGCTTCAGCCACGTGCATGGAGTCGGCAGGGGTCTTATTCCTGGCGGGAGCCCCCATGGCGACTTCAAGCTCCTTCGGGACGCTGGTGGCTGAGGAGGACAGCGAATTTCGGGACTTGGATTTCGTTCAGGAAGCAGCTAGCAAGGGAACGTGATCCGTTCTGATCTTGAGAAAGATATGAGAAGTCACATAACTCACCTAGCTCCGAGACGACTATCTCGTTCAGCGCCAGCATCTCGACAGCCGTTTGCTGGAAGCTGATGTCCCCTGTCGCCGTCTCGCCTGAAATCGTTTCCTTCGGTGAGCGTTGGTCACAGTTTCGCCGGTTCTGCGGCCTCATAGTGGATCGGTACTTTCAGTCGAGCAGGTGTCCTGTCTCTTCGTTTCCACTCAACCGAACCGACTCACCTCCGTCCTGGGCCTTGTCTTCCGAGTCCTGGATCCCAGTCCACGTCTTGAAACAGCTCTCAAGCGTTTTGTTGAAAACCATTGCAAGGACGTAGAGTGCGTAAGCCGCGAGGCATAGGCTCGCCTCGATCCTGCCGAGTTGACCGAAACAGAATCGAGTGTTTAGTACGCTGAGCCAGCCTGTTTCTGCCGACACAGGTGAAGGGGGAGACGTCTTCCAGGCCAAACATGGAAGAGCCTTTCCCTCCGCTAGCGTCTCGGCGCTATTTTTTACAGACGAGCGTTTCGAATTGTTGATAATTGTAAGACAATTATTATAAAATTATTATAAATGCAGTGCTCACCAGCTGATTTCGCCGTCCGTCAGCGAAAACATGACGACGACCATGCCCAGGAGGAAGAAGAACGAAGACCTGAACAGGGGCCACGCATGCAGTACCACGGAGCGGTGCGCCAGTAAGGCGCAAGCCGCGAGTACTCCGGCTCCGTTCAAGACTCCTGTTCCCAGAGCCGTGGACAGACCCAGGTCGTTCTGTAACGAAGACGCGGTCGGGGGTTAGAGTCGGATGGGAGTGATACATTCTTGATTCGCGGACAGCGTGCCTGGCTTGGAATAGCGTTTTCCCAGGCTGACTGGGCAGCGTCCAATTATCCCAGCGACACTCCACGCTCTTTCGAACGCTACCCGAAGCAATATCTTGCTCACCTCCACGACGTTCACTCCGATGACCGACGTCACGAGTGCGGGGATTGAGCTCGCCGCGGCCATGAAAGTCCCTCCAGCAACGTCTGGATCGATCCTCAGATCTTTGAAGAAGAAGAAGAGTCTCAATTTTAGGGAAGTATCATTCCGATGCGCTTCAAGGAAGCTCATCAGTCCTGAATAGAATCTCACAATAAGCGTCAGGAGTCGTGCTCACAGTCGATCGATTGCTGGAGAGCTGGCACGAAATACTCTTTGCATGCGACTGAAATGATCAGTATGATGCAAAGAGCAATCGTGATGTGGACTAAGATGCCGCCCCGCGCGCGCATCTCCGCATTGACTATGGGCCGAGGGAATTCCTCGATGGCGGCGGGCAGACACTTGATGTCTGCCGTGCCAATCGGGATTCTGAGTCCCTCGTCTGTTGGAAATGTCGAATTCATTTAGTCCCCGCACTTCAGAGGGTATCATCATCATCATTCGTCTCATTAGCGACAAAATTATAATTTCCAAAAGACATTGAGCAATATTATCATGTTAGCCAAGGGATGAGAAATCGTCTTCAGTGAAGAAAAAAGATCGTTGACACTCACCGGCGAGCTCAGTAAGGTTGCTTTCCCGCAACGTGATATGGGGGGAGCTGTCCCCTGGTGCTGCGAGCTCAGCCCCCGCAAAGCGTGGGAGACTCTGGAGGGCGCACGAGATCGCCAGGATCAGCTCGAGCATCATCATTTTGACTCTGGAAAAGACTTGATTTAGTAATTAAAGCTCCAAAAGACTCTCGACCACGAGGTCGCGTTCTCGAGACCATGACTGGCGGGCACCGAAATCTTTCACCGACTCAGACATCATCCCTCCTGCGTGAAACTTCTGCGGGGGGAAGGCTCGGAGGGAGGAACGGTTCGACTCATTCAAAGGCGAGTTTTCGACTGCAGTGAGGGTCGCGCGTCCCGCCACTGATGTAATGAGCCCTAGCAGAGCTTCTCGAGTTAACAGGCACCTGTTGGCAGACTTCGTGACATTTTTCTTCTGACGCTCGACAACTGCTACCAAGCCGATATCCCGATCATCTCAGTTGCCCGATTTTTAGCCTAAATTGCCGGTACCGCATGCGCACTGCGCACTTCCTAGAAAGAAAGGCTGGTTTCGACGTACCGAGGACAAGTATCTATCCGACTTGAGTAATCACTTCAAAATCATTCTTTCCGTAACACTCGAATAGAATGAAAAATAATCGGCCCGAGCGGCTGTATTAACGCCTCTCCTCATCGGGCATGTAGGCCGCTCCGGGCTGCTGAGAAATGCCCTCCACTCATTCCTCCCTGATCATCTTGGTTCCGAAGATCGGCTCCGCCTTTTTTTTTGGGTCGACGGGGCCCCGGATACCCCCTGGACCTGCCCGACTCCCGGTCGTATTCACACTCCGGGTGCTGCCTGGAATCTTCCCTCGTTTCCTGCCTGGATCCCCTCCTGGACGCCTGAATGTGCACCTCTCGGATCGGCTGAACTTGCCCATCCGTGGCTGCTTGAATCTGATCCCTGATTGACGATCTTCCTGATTGAATCCCTCGGTATAATATCCCCTACTATCTCCGACCGGATCTCGAATGAGAGCGTGTGCTTGACTTGAAGCCGTGCCTACCCTGACGCGACGGTCAAATTGAACTCCGAAATTCGATTGAGCATGCGACCCAATCGTGATGTGTCAGGTCCGATTTCAAGGCGGCGACTGCGCTTCAATCCGTCTTCACAAGAGACCAAAGACATTGGTCACCGCCACCATTCCATTTGGGAAATGGTCAAGTTAGGTGTGGTAAAGATTCAGCATCTTCCCATGGCCGAAATGATCGGCGACATTCTGACGAAAAGTTCGTTGGCCGAGGAACCCAAGCAATGCCCGGAATGACTAGGGTTACGTCAGGGATCTGCCGTCTGCCAACCTCCTTGCCAAAATCAAACTATTCAGCCATTCTTCAGCCCCGGCAACAGTAACTTTACCTGAGAATGCCACGGCGGTATCTCTCGCTTCGTCTCTCGACCACACCGGTGGGGAAAAATCTTGCTTCCCCTGCGCACTTCCTCCTGATGCTCCCTTTGCGAGAAGCATTCTATCAACATGGGCGCAAATCTGTCCTGACATGCGAAGGGTTGATGCCGAGGGAGCGTGCAGCACATTGCCGGGGATGCGCGTGAAAATGTGCCCGGGAACCATGGAATCAGAGGGTCGACGGCGCAAGCGCCGGGCGAACGCCTGAGTGTTTGCCTCGATGTATCTCGAACTCCGGGAGTTCCCCATTCGGGAGAAAGAAAGGGGTTCGCGAACCAGTCTGCAGCTGGCACCACCGGGAACTCGATCGTGATCGAATCAAAACCCGGATCTAAGTCGTGAGAAGCGGCGAAAATCCCCTCATTCGATCGTCGCCTATCCGGGACGGCGACCCCGAATTTCCTAGCGGATGCAAGTCTGCATGTTCGACTCCTTCGGGAGGAATTACCGCTTGCGCTTCGAAAACACAGGTGGCTGGCTTGCGCAACGAGCATCTCCGAGCCGATCAAAGTTCGGACTCGCTAGTCTCCATCGGCGATTGACCGGAAGCGACGACCATTGCGGGGGTACCACGGTTCTTCTGCCGGCCGAAGGATCCACCGACGATGACCAGATATGCGATTCCTCCAGCGATTTGATTTTGCTGTCGGACACCGAAAGTCTCCCATGGCTCTTCGCTTTCCAAGACGATGCAGATATGTCGAGGGCGCTGGTCTCATGAAACTTGTGAAATGACTTACGGTTGCGTATTTCTTGGCGATCGGAGAGATGATTGATACTGGAAGGATCGATCCTCCTTAGTTGGGATCGACGCGTACGTAGGTCGGTTTGGCACGAGCTTGAGCTGCACAAACAACGATCGAGCTGATTGCGAGACTGCTGGTGGAGATCTGTCGAGCTCTAGAAGTCTTTCGGATGGGCGAGGACATCTTCTCCCAGACCATCGGAACCCACCCTCCCGGAAATCCTCCAACCCCGCTCGTTTAGTTGGAGGACCTCGTTGGTCCTCGGACAGGAGCCAGAACTGCTCAAGATTTCTGAAATCTCGGGGTTGACCGGCGTCCATGTGGGTTCTGAGTCGATCGGGTGGCCAGCAGGTAGGTTCGATGAATCGATAGGTCGATTGCAAACATTTGTATTCGGATGGGAGCTCCCCCAAAACAACGGTGTCTCCCGATATAATTGTCTGCCGTCGGCTTTGCGGCTGTCTCTGCGGATTGGTGTTCTAGCGAATTTTCTGTGAACCGAAAAACGAGCTCGATCGTTTGCAGGACCCCGGCTCGGATTGCGGTTCAGCTTCACGCAATACTCGGGGCGTTGAATAAATGGAAGTCGGGCGCCTATGAGGCTAGAAACGTCCGTATCGAAATAGCTGTGCCGGTAACCCCTGAGTCGGGAACCGCGGAGACTCTACCTTACCGCTCCGCATTACCGCGAACGGAAGCTCATGGTCGAATCTCCGGGCGCGAAGCGATCGCGAGAAACGTCTATAATTATATATACGAGCGAGACCCAGATACACTCTTGCTCGTTTTTCATCTTCCTCCGACTCCGGCGTGGGAGCATAAGTGTAAGCGCATATCTTGGTGTTGCTCGTTTGTCTTTCAGATAGATTCAGTGGGGTCGGCGAGTGAGAGCTCGGAAGACTGTAGGAGACATCTCAGAGCGAGAAGCTATGGCCTTCTGAAAATTGGAAGGAGACTGCTGAAATCTGATTCGAGCATGGCCAACGAGAACGATTACGAAGTTGACGAATGGAGGAACCCCAGGGAACGGAAAGCACCTCTATACAGGAGCCGGATTGAGCTTTTCGACGGAAAGATGGGATCCACACGAGGGAGCTTCCGGTGACAAAAGCGGTCCACCGAGACCCCTCTTACCTCAGACAGCGCGCATTTCGAGAGATTTGGGGGGTTCAATCCACTACGTGGTGGGAGACGAGCAGAACTCATGACACGCGAGGGAGTGTCCAGGAAAAAGGGAATTATCCGAATCATGGATGACCCCAAAAATGGAAACCTCAAATATCTGGACAGAGCTTCCAGATTAATGGGAGAGCCCAGCATATCCGTCCAGAGGGTTTTGATCCCACACTTCGATGTAAAAAACTTGACGAGCCCGAGCAACACTCGGCAAGATGGTCAAGGGGGACCGCTGACGCCACAGAGCTTCGAGTACGGCGGGCTCAAGAAGGCCAAGAAGACGAGGTCGAAGAAATGAGCGCTGCACTCAGCAAACCCTTACCCCGGCCGAGATTGACGCTTTGAACGAGAGAAAAAACGCATTCAGGAGGCTCCTGGCCCTAGAGAATGAAGAATTCTCCTGTTTGATCTGATTATAATTCTGAGACTCGGGGATCACAGGCGGCACGTGCCGCGTGAGCCTTGATTCAGAGCTCAAGGAACACACGTATATGATACTTTGTTCTTCGTCAACGCTGAGTACATGTATTGACGAGCAATGTTGAACATGTGAACCCCGGACTACAAGAGAAGTAAACGAGAAATGTGAAAACCCAGTTGAGAGAGGAATGATCGGCGAGGGTGGCGAGTGGGGCGCGGGCGAGGTGTCAGAGCGAGCGATCTCTTTTGATGCCTAATACGACGACGAGAGAGGTCATACCGCAATCAGGGACGACCGACTTGTCAAAGGTCTTCGGACTTTCAAGCAGTTTTCAGAGAAGGACTTGGATATACGAATAATCTAGACCTTGACTCGTCTCCCTGAAACTCATCTGGTGGCGACCATTGGTCATACGAGTTATGAGATAAGTCTACAGGTGAGCGACACTCGAAATGAAAGGAGGAGAGGATGAAGCCCCGCGGTTCGAGGGACAATCTCGATTACTTGAACTGCTTCTCGATAGGGGAGCAGGGGGATTCTCGAACTCTAGCCAGGTAGGTACAACAGAAGATTCCGGAGACGAGATCCAGCTCTCTGACGTCTGAGGGCGGAATCATCGTCCCAGCCCCTCTGTCTGAGAGGTGGTGACATGAGGCCCAAGCTTCGCGCACAATTTTTCCAAACTGTGGCTTTCGAGCACGCAGAAAACCTGGCGACTGAGAGTGAGTCGCCTCGTGAATCGTCCGTCTTCTCATCAATAAGTCTCTGCTTGAGTCGAGCTCGGCTGCGAGTAGATATATGAATTCAGGCAAATGAGTGAATATGATTGAGACCCGATAGTTTCCCGATACACGACTTGACAGTTAGCGTTCGTATCCATCATAATTGCGTGAGACCGGGCTCGAACGTTCATCACAACGGAACAAACGAGCACGCGTCGCAATCATCTCTGGCATCAAGAGCAATCTGTTTTCTTCAATTCGGGAGGCTCAATCCGGGAAGGAGATTTGGGGCATTCTGAAGAAACTGTATGAACCTCGAGATCTGTACCGCAAAGTTTCTCTCCTGGAAGAACTCACCGGTGTCAAGTACACTGATTTCGCTGATATGGAGGATTATATCAACAAGAAGATCACTACAGCGCAGCGTCTGAGAGCTATTGACAGCGAAATCAAAGATGAAATTATATTATCGAGACTACCAGAAGAGTTCACATCTCTTATCCAAAGCATCACACAGACGGAGGTCACAACTGAGGTAGACTCTTGAGTGAAGCTGCACGTCAGGTGTCCCAGAAGCGCGAAACAGCTTTAACGAGTGTACGAGCAAGTTATGAGCTCCGTGGTCGTGGTCATGTATCAACCATGAAAGGACGTAGTACCAGAGGTCGTAGTCAGATGACCAGAGGACGAAGAGGCCACGTGATACGAGGAGCAGAAGGAAAATTCCAGGGAGCATGTCACCAATGTGGGAAGATTGGACACATGATGAAGGATTGTGGGTGGACTGAACATGGAAAAGCAGCGTATGAACAAAAACAGACGACCCGAATGGAGAAGTCTGAACTCGAAAAGGACGAGTTCGTGAACTTCGAGCGAATCCTGCTGTGCCCACCGGCAACGATCACTGCTTCTAATCCGTCATTCGATTGGTATATTGACTCTGGTGCGAGTACCCACATGTCAGGGAGAAGAGCTCTGTTCGTGACTTTCAATGAGGGTGCCAGAGTCAGATTCGTAGCGACGGCAAATGATAAGATCCTACGATCCGCCGGAAGTGGAGATGTCTGCATGAACTGCATTGTGGGTGGGAGAACTCACCGCACGAAGTTGCGTGATGTCTTATACGTTCCCGCTCTCGAGGTTTTGATCTCGGTAAAACAGCTGGCAAGAAACGGATTCGAAGTGAAATTCGACCAGCAGGAATGTGAGATCAAGGACAAGAACGGCGTTCTGTGTGCCTTTGCTACTTGTACGGATACTTATTTATATCGCCTGGAAGAATGTCTTGATAAAGCTCTCACAACCTGTTCATACGACCTCTGGCATCGGAGATTAAGTAACCTCAATCGAGAAGGAATCAGAAAATTGACGATGGGACTTGCGGAAAGAGTCGATTGCATTATTCCTGGAGTCGAGCATGTTTGTTGGCCGTGTTCTGGAGGCAAACAGCAGAGAAAAGCGTTCCCTGCGTTACGGTCTATTTATCAGTCCAAGTTAGAATTGGTTCATAGAGACGTTTGCGGTCCGATGAAGGTGACAAGTATCAGTGGTCACAGGTACTTCATAGTTTTCGTGGACGACGCCACGCGGATGACTTCGGTAGTATTCATGAAGACGAAGTCAGAGACTTTCGAGAAACTTGTGGAATACGTGCGCTACGCGGAAGCAGCTCCTGCAGAGAAGTTGAAGACATTACGCACTGATAATGGCACAGAGTATGTGAACAGAAGAGTCTCAACTTTCCTAGCAGAAAATGGGATCCGACACGAGACGACAATTCAGTGTCAAAAAACTCTTCGAGCTCTTCCTACCCGGGATGGGATTCCGAGGAGGAAGAGGAATCGTTTTATCATCGTGATGACGAGCCTTGACGAGGGTCCCGACGAATTTGGACCCGGCGCCCAGCAGACGTTCGCACCGACGCTCGCTCTTCGAGATTCGTAGCTTTCCGATTATGACGATCGGGAGCAATCAGAGGCTTCGAGTGTTGCCGCCGACTTCGCTCTTAGATGGGAGTTTTCCACCCGCCCGTTGGGAGGCATCAAGTTTTTCCCGAAATATCTGTGGTTATCGAGGAAGAATATTCAGGCTATATAGAAAAAAAATTGCTCTTCGACTCTCCGATCGGAAGCGACGGCAAGAGGGTCTCGGGAGTTCCCCAATCAATCGATGTGACTCTTCATCCTTCTGAAATGATGCCCGCTTCTTCATGAGACTACTGAGCTCTTCAGCCAAGGCGTCGAGGGCCCGTTGTCCATGCGAGCCTCCCCAGAGCCTGGGACTCCGAGTCCTCGTGACGGGATCCCAATGGACCGATCTCCTCCTTGAGCTCCCGAAGCCTACCGTGGATGAATCTCGTACCGATGAGTATGGCTTCATGAATGGCGGGGAACAGGTCATTGGGAACAGGAATTTTTGAACAGGTTTCTTCTTGTCAAAGGATTTTTCGCGTGGGGGAAGCGTCGTGCCCTCTCGGAGATCCCTCAGTCGAGCCTCATGGTAGGCCCATAATGTATTTTTTCTAGGATTCTGATTATTATCGTCCGAATCGTGGAGGAATCTCCTTGCTGGAAAAGAGGGAAATCACCCCAAACCTCGCTGGTCTTCTACGGAGAGGAGATATGGACGGTGATTCGGAGCAGACATTCACGCTCACAGCGATTTTCTCGGATGGATTTTGCTTCTCAAGTATAGTGCGAGATTCAATGCAGGCCTGCGGCCTTGTCACTTCGAGACCACAATCAGTTCCGGTCCAAGAGATCGAAACCCAGCGTCTCACAAGGTCTGGAACCGATTCCGTCGCGAACGGGGCCGATTCTCGTCAATGAGAGCCGCTCACCGCGGCGCCGCGCGGGGAACACAGCCATGCGTGGAGGATGGGATATTTTAGATAGATGTTCTGTTTTCAGGATACATTGTCTTGCGCCTCTCGGGCTCCTCTGTGCGTCAATTCCTGCTCATATAACTACCTAGACCTGCGATTCTCAAACTTTTTTCGCCTACGTCTCCCTTCTGCCTCTTGGGGAGCGCTCGCGTCTTGCCCGAGTTTCATCGAATATCTAAGAATATAGAGTTTCGACCGAGACATGGCACAGTGCCGTTTTATCCGTACATACGGCTTCATCCTTTAATTGTACAATGATTATGAGCTCGGAGTACAGTCGCAATGAGCTTGGTAAGCTTTCTGGAATTTGAAATCAGGTCGGTCGGGAATTCTCGGAGCCCTAAGCGTCTCCCCTAGATTTCTCCCCTAGTTTGAGTAACGCTGACCTAGACGATTTCTCTGATTTATTCCAATAAATGTCGGCTCAATCGTCTGCCGACGATGCAGAACGCCCGGAGCGCGCCGGAATTTCGAATTATCACCTGTCCTCAGGAGCCGTCTCCCAGAGAGAGTGAAGCGTCTGCTCTTGATGGTATACGGACACAGCGTTACGGATCGATTCCCAAAAGTTGTCTCGGTTTCACTATGGTGGAATCCCGAGTTCCATTGTTCCCCGTGGTTTCCAAGCGGAGTTCGAGATGAAAGCGAACAATAAACGTAGGTCCCGGTCTCTGAAGTTCTGCAAATTCGCAGAGCAGAGCCTCGGAGATTCTTCGTATCTTTAACCATGGTCGCTCGAGAGCTGTCTAATGCTCCCTGATGTTTTTCAAAAATTATGGCGCAAAAGTTCAAGCTGCCACATTCAGCTCACATGATCCTTATTCCCTGCGTCTTGGAAGCGCGATGGTCCCTCTACTGAGAGATCGAGTGACACCGCTGCCCGCCATGTCGAGGACTGGTTGTGCCCACGGAAAGCCCGGTGTGGGAAACCGTCTGAAACTCTCCAGATTTCACTGCGATCCTCCATGCAGAGACGCCAGGAACTGATGGTTTTGGAGGCGCGTCATGTCTAGAATCGATAGGACGATGTTGGGAGCAAGTGGCTCTTCGCAGCAAGTTGATATCGAGGCTTGCTTTCTCTTCTGCCATTGGCGCCTAAAAACGAGCTCCGAAGATCCTCCTCGAAGAACTGTGAGCTGATCGTATCAGGCTTCGAATTGAAGATCACTTCTTCTCCAGATCCCCCCTCGTTGCCAGAACGGAAGAATGAGGACGAGAACAGGAAGTCCATCAACGCTGTTTATCAGTGTGGTATCTGTCAACAACTCTTCGAGACCGAGTCGGAGGCCACCGATCACTTCCAAGACTGTAGCACTGGCAAGGTACGCATATATAGTCTGGTCGGAGCGAAGATCTTGACGACAGTTCGCGCCCTATTTTTCTCTGCTTGGGAAGTTTCATACTCGCGACTTCGAAGATCCCCTTTTCAAATCTCTTCTCTTCCATAAGAAAGCTCGGGCCCACTCATCGGCGGACGCCAAATCGGATATTCCCGCAGTCGGTAATTTCCAAGTCAGCGTTCTGGACTGTCAATCGTGTACTTTCCGAACAATCCGTGAGGATTCCATGCATAGTCACATCATCGATAAACATGCGTCGTCAGGTTCCTACAGCCGGAAAAGCACTCGTTTCGCGAAAACACCGACCATCATCAGGAGGAAACGAGATGCGAGCAGTGGATTCTCTTGCCATATTTGTCGCTACAGATCAGCCTCATTCAATAAGTTCCGATCACATGTTCACCAACAGTCGAGCGAGCGTGACTTGGATTCTTTCCACTGTTTCTTCTGTAGTTTCTCATGCAACATCGCAAGCGAGATGGACAATCACTGCAACGAGCAACATTCTCAAGTCAACAACATACCTCCTCTGGAAATCGAGTTTCGGTGCTCGACCTGCTCGAAGATGTTCGCGAGCTCCGGAGCCATGTCCGAGCACCCGCAGAATTGCGGACTGACGGTGGAGCAGAGCCTGGCAGAACTGTTTCCTCACACTCTCTGTGAGGATTGCTCGTTCGGCACCAATTCGAAGAACATCCTGGAGTATCATACTATTTCGCTCCACAGCACCTACCCTTGCTCGGAATGTAGCGCGATCCTCCAGACGAAAAAAGCCCACGTAGCCCACATGCAAGCCAAACACGCACAAGTTTGTCCCCATTGCAATATTATTTTCTGTCTCAGCAAGCCTTCTCGAGCATGAGGAGAAGCAGCATTCGAAAGGAATCACCTGTGACATGTGCAAACTCCAGTTCTCCGACGACAAGAGTCTCAGCTCACACATGTCGAAACATACTGCCAGGACTTGCTCCGTTTGCGAAAAACTGTTCGAAACTGTCGACGGTCTTGAGCAACATATGGTCGATGTCCGTCCCAAAATCAACATGCTTGGCAAGAACGTTTGTAATTCTTGTTTCCACGTCTTCTGTACGGCAACGGCTCTGGCAACGCACTCCGAAGAGTGCACGGTGTCATCAGGGATTTGCATACACTGCGGCGAGTCATGTGGATCTCTGGAGAACGTTCTCAAGCACATAGAGACGAAACACGAGGAGATCGAAATCTACGAGTGCGCTTTATGTGCTCACCGTACCATTGACAGTACGGTGCATCTGTTTCATCAATTGATACACATGGCGCTCCCAGCGACCGTGGGCAAATCGACGTACCAATGTAATCTGTGTCAAAAATGGACCACCTCAGCAGGATCACTGCGGACGCACCTCAATAATCACACAAATTCGAAGCCGTACCGTTGCGAGTTCTGCGAATTTACGACGTCTTCGAGCGGGAACCTCCGGGCGCACCGAGCCGTACGTCATCTGCACACAACGGATAGCGTCAAATGTCAGATTTGTAATCGGAAATACCGCACGGCGAGTCAGATGAAGAAACACCTACGGATGACGCATTATCAGACTTTGAATTATCAATGTGGTATTTGCGAGAATCGATTCGTGACTGAGCTGAGGCTAAAACGTCACTTGGCCATCGTGCATTTCGATGACTCCGAAGCGGTAAATGGCGATGAGCCTTACGCAGGCCTGTCCCGCTTCCGCTGCGAGAACTGTCCATTCAGCTCGTACTCGGCGAACCGGTTCCGTCTCCATCGCGCCACCCACCGCGACCGGCTTGAATGTCCGTATTGTGATCTCAGTTTCCCACTCCTCGACGTTCTCAATCGTCACATAAACGTTCGTCATTTCAAAAAGCACGTTCCCTGTCCAATCTGTGCTCGACGACTCCCGAACGAGGCTCGACTCAAACAGCATATGGAGGCATGTCATGCCAGTGACGAGAAGGAGCTCAAGTGTTTAACTTGTGGATTCTGCTTTGAGTCCATCGCGCACCTGGAGTACCATTGTCGGAGTCACTTGACGGTCAGGAACTTCGAGTGTCCTACATGTAAGAAGACGTTCACGACTGCCGCGTCGCTCTGCGTGCACCGGCAACGGCACACGAGGTTGGAGGTGGGAAACAAGGGAAAGACGTACGTTGGCAATTCGAATTGGGTGTTCTACTGTGATGAGTGCAAGCTCCGCTTCAAGTACAAGAGCAGTCTGTTGGCTCACCAAATGGTAGCCCACTCCGAGAAGACTGAGCTCTCGTGTCACATCTGCTCGAAGCAGCCCTTTGGCTCTAAACTCCTTCTCAGTTATCACATCCGGAAGCATTTGGAGGAACGCGCCAACACGTGCGAGTTTTGTCAGAAGAAATTCTTCTCGCCCGGAGCACTGAAAAATCACGTCATCTCAGTTCATACTAAAGCTTACGAAATATTCTGCTCGATATGTGATAAAGGTATGCTCAGTCAAGCGAGACTAGAGATGCACATGATTCATTCTCATCGTGATACGAAGAAACGGAGAACGAAAAAGCTCAAAGTTGTACAGGAAGAAATAGAGGAATTCCCCGAGCCGATTCCACTCGAACCGCATCCAGAAGAGCTCATGACGGCTGATGAGACGATTTTGAGTCAGGTAATATATTGAGGCATAGATCCGGCGTTTCCAACTGGCTCGCATTCTCATATCATGAGTTCCGTCTCGCGAGATTCCCGACAGCTTCTCTCCGACTTCGAACGACCTCAAACTCTCGATTCCTTTTTTCCAGGAAATTGTGATTTCGACCATCGACGAGCATCCACCAGCGGAAGATCCGACCCCGATATCGAATGGAGCGAATGAGGACTTCATAAGCCGAATCCTCGACGATTCAGACCCTCA